CCATTACTTTTATCATTCTATCGATTTTTCTGCAGATTTTGAACTACGTGACTGGGAGTTGGCACACGGGGGTAAGGGAACATGCTGATTACGAATATCATAACATTTCAGAAAATACCCCTTACTTATATTGGTTTAATTGATTTTTTGTAATGTTTGAACTATGGCGTTGGGGATTGGTACAGGCAGGTAATTGAGCATGCTGCTCACGAGCACATTCTTATTTTACAACTTGTCACTTACCTTCACTGGCTTTATCGATTTTTTGCAAAGTTTAAGCCAGGAACTGGGATTTGGCACATGGGAGAAAGCGAGCATGCCGATTACGATTGTAATAAGTGTTCTTAGAAGAAGCTATTATTTTTGTCGATTTTTCTATTCTTTGTAAAATTAGAGCTACACGGCTGACATTGCACAAAGTTGTATGTGAGCACGCTTACTGCAAAGATAGTTTTTGAGAATTTCCATTACTTTTATTGATTTCATCTTTTTTCAAAGCTGAAGCTACGAGGCTCAGATGGCACTAATCCGGGGGTAAATGAGCATGCTGAGAATTCTATAATCACACTCGGAAATGACGAAGGCGGTAAATTTACTTAAAATTGTTATAAATTCACTTTGGCCCGCCTTTACCTTTTTGAATCCTACTTCTGCCCCCAAAATCAGAAAAGCACATGGAGCCTGGTTTCGAGGGAAGAAAATGCTTATAAACTGAGGCGGCAAGCAGTGGCGGACCGAGGGGGGAGGGGGGCGGGGGGGGGGGTCGCGAAATTTTTGAAACTTACCTATATGGGTTATAAAAATGTGCAAACGACTTGTTTATTTATGTAAATAATTGAAATAATTTTTAAAATTTTTTAAAAATTCAAATTAGCTTTATAAAAATTTTTTTTCGGGGCGTGGCTGACGCCACGCACCTTCATTTGAGAAAAATTTTTGTCGCGCTCCCCTCGGTCCGAAATCCTGCGACCGCCACTGGCGGCAAGATATTTCGGTACTTTTCCGTTATCTGGACCCATTTTTTCAAAGAAGAGTATTGCTTCCATCCTTGTACCATATTTGGTCTCAGCTTTACAGGGAGGAGTGCCAACCTTCTGCCACGTGTCAAAAAAACTTGAATTGTCATTTACATGCTTAACAGGTTTTACTAAGAGTTTTCGTTCAATCTGTCTTGTAGTCAATTTCAACCTCATTTCGATCAAGCATTTCAAAGTGAACATTGTCATAATAATAACGACATACTCTTATCGATGAACAGACTAGACTTGCTCGGAATAGAGAAGTGCGTGAGATGAAATCATTTAAGAGGCAAAATAAGCGGCAGCAAGGGACTTCAAGCTTCATTTATAGTCTTTCCTGGCTAAAATCGCATGGCCAAAAGGGTTTGAAGAGAAAAGCATTATTAAATCACCACTGAAAGCAAGCAAGATGATCTAAAACAAATTCATGATTGTTTTGCTTTTATGTAAAACAATTAAACAGCTCAAAAGTGACTACAATCTCTTTTACCTCCCCGGAAATGGTTTCGAAAAAAAAATCATGTTAGAATGAACCGAAAAGTGTCAATTTTTTTGTGACACGTGGCAAGGAGTCAGTCCTCGTAGAAATTATAAAAAATTATTCTTAAACTAAAGAAAGTATCACATGGGAGCCTTTCGAAGAAATGGGTCCGGATAACGGAAAAGTACCGATATTTTCGCTAAGAATTTCTACGAGTCAATATCTAATTATACGGAAATTTCCTTAAATTCACTTCTGTCCCTTCCACTCTGCAAAAACCATACTTCTGCCTCTGAAAGCAGAAAAGTGGTCTCTAGGGAAGGACAGACCCATGAGCTTCATCCGGCACGGCATTTTCACTGAAACTCTAGGCTCTCAAACTGCAAAACCACTAAACTCAAAAACCACATATCTGGCCCTAAAAGCAGAAAAACAGGGAGCTTGGTCTCGATGGAAGAAAGAATTATGGCCTCAGGCAGCAAGAGACTTTCGCCAGAAGTTTCTGGGTGTCAATGATTATACAGAACTTGCTTGAAATTTATTTCTGGCCCTTTTGGTCTCGAGGAGAAAACACTAATAAGCTCAGCCAGCAAGATACTCTCGCTGAAACTTTCTGGGTGTCAATGTTTATTCATACTGGAACTTGCTTCAAAAATTTACTTCTGGCCTTTCTACTTTGCAAAAAAACCATACTTCTGCCTCTAAAAGTAAAAAATCACAAAGTGCTCTCGAGGGAAGGACAGACCCATGAGCTTCATCCGACAGAACAGTCTCGCTAAGACGTTTGACCCCCTAGACTTCGCAAAAACCAGTACTTCTGCCCCTAAACGCAGAAAAGCACAGAAAATCCAGTCTCGGGGGAAGAAAGAATCATGGCTTCAGGCAACAAGGTATTCTCGCCAGAAGTTTATGGGTGTCAATAATCATACAGAGACTTGCTTAAAATTTACTTCTGGCCATTCTACTTTGCAAAAACCACACTTCTTCCTCTAAAAGCAAAACAGTACAGAAAGCTTGGTCTCGAGAAAATGGCAGAACCATGAGGCTTCATGCGACAAACCTTTTCGCTAAGGCGTCTGACCTCCTAGACTTTGCAAAAACCAGTGCTTCTGCCCCTAAAAGCAGAAAAGCACAGGGAATTTACTCTCTAAGGAAGGACAGACCCATGAGCTTCTTGCAACAGGACATTTGTACAGAAAATTTCGGCCCCTTCTACTTCGCAAAAACCAGTACTTTTGCCCTGAAAGCAGAAAAGCACAGGGATTTAGTCTCTAGGGAGAGACAGACCCATGAGTTTCATCCGACAGGACATTTTCTAAGACTTTTGACTCCCAAACTTCGCAAAAAACCATAAAACTCATTAACCACACTTCTGGCCCAAAAAACAAAAAAGCACAAGGAGCTTGGTCTCGAGGGAAGTAAGGATTATGGCCTCAGGCAACAAGATGTTTTCGCCAGAAGTTTCTGGTTGTCGATGTTTCATTATACAGAAACTTGTTTGAAATTCGTGGCCATTCTACTCTGCAAAATCCATACTTCTACCCCCAAAAGCAAAACAGCACAGATAGCTTGGTTTCGAGGAAAAGAGACTCATAAGCTCAGCCAGCAAGATATTTTCGCTGAAAACTTCTGGGTATCAATGTGTATTTACAGAAACTTGTTTAAAATTCACTTGTGGCCATTCCACTCTGCAAAAACCAGACTTCTGCCTCTGAAAACAGAAGAGTGGTCTCGAGGGAAAGACAGACCGGGAGACGGTCAAGAGGCGCGATTTTTCTGGCTGTCACCAACTTAAAACTTCAGTTTCTCGCCATGGGAGTGTTCAAAAAGTGTCGGACAAAGTCCATCGGCTTACTAGCTGTTTGAAGTAACCATTTGATAAGTTGACGACTTTTGCTAGAAAACTGACCGAAATAGTTACAAAATTGCTATAAACTGCATTTTCATGGGTTTTCGACCTTCAACAATTTTGTTTTGAATCGCTTTCAAAATGATAAGATCGAAGAATTCCTGCAATTCTCTAATGTACTTCTTTTGAAATTTCAAATAATCCTGGAACTTCATAAAACACTAAGTATGTGCTATATACTGCCCATCTGGTAATAAGAATCGCGCCTCTTGACATACATCCAAACAGACCCATGAGCTTCTTGCGACAGGAAATCATTTTTGCTGAAAATTCTGGCTTTCTGAACTTTGCAAAAACCACACTTTTGTCCCTAGAGGCAAAAGACAAGGAGCTTGGTCTCGAGGGAAGAAAAGACTCAGGGCTCAGGCAGCAAGATATTTGCGCTAAAAGTTTTTAGGTGTCAATATTTGATTATACAGAAACTTGCTGGAAAAATTACCGTTCTTCTCAACCATACTTCTGCTAAAAGCGGAAGCATAAGGATCTTGGTTTCGAGGGAAGGAAAGAACTAGGGTTTTATACGACAGTACAGTTTCGGTAAGATTGTCCATCAAAAGAAGGCGCTGGGCCAGCTTCTGTTCAAGAAATGAGCCCGTTCACTGGCAAGACATCATCGAAGAAAATGCTGCTTCGTTTTTACCGACATATCTGAGTTTTTGGCTGCTGGAAGACATAAATTGACGCTTCCTTTAACATGGCACTTTCCTGGAAATCAGTCTGAGTTTTGAGATGAATCAGCTGCTCTAAACAGGTGCTTCGAGGTAGCTTCCTTGTTTAAGAGCTGTGGTATCTAGGCAAAGGTATGTGCAAGAAAACAGCAGAGATGCTTTGCGGATAGTCACTGGTAGTAGCTTCTTTTCGTAGGAGCATAGTGTTTTGTTTTGTTTCTACTACTCACAACACGGAAAGGTCGCTGGGAAATCCTCTTTCTTGGAATTTTTAGTTAAATGGCAGATATCAATGTATTTGCCCCACCCACTTACTAGCGACCCGTAGGGTCGCTAGTCCTATATATAAAGCTGAATGTCTGTTTGTCTGTATGTATGTATGTATGTATGTATGTATGTATGTATGTATGTATGTATGTATGTATGTATGTATGTATGTATGTGTGTACGTATGTTCCGAATAGAAAATTCCATTTCTGAACCGATCCGGACCAAACTTGGCACACATACGCTACGGGCCCCGGCGGGTGTCATAGGCTACTTTTCGTCATCGATCGAAATCGATTTTATCGATTTTTATCGATTTTTTTGCTGAGTTCACCTACGGGGCTGGGAGTTGGCACAGGGGGGTAATCGAGCATGGGGATTCCGAATACAATATTGGTTTTCAGGATTATCGATTACTTTTATCGATTTTATCGATTTTTTTTGTAAAGTTTGACCTGCGGGGCTGGGAGTTTGCACAGGGGGGTAATCGAGCATGGGGATTCCGATTTCTTTGGAGCATATGAGGTTGTTTGTTTGAACTGTTTTTGTTACGGTGTTTTTATTAGTTTTATCTTTGTCAAATCGTTACCTTTGTCTATGTCTAATACTTGTTTTGTTCATCCATGTTTTATAATGTCATGTTTTGATTTCAGGTAATGGATCCAAAGGAGCGAGAAGAAAAATATCAAGAAAATCTCCAAGGCCGTGTACTAGCGGAGTACGTAAGGATTTCAAATCTTCCCATAAGGATGAAAGCCGAATTCAGTCTAATGATAAACAGGATAATTGACATAGTTGGGTAAGTTTACCAGCATTTAAAGCATAAATACAGTAATGAATTTAATTTTTTAGTTACCGTGAGCACTTGCACGAGGATCCATACCCTTTAACTTGGCCGAGAGCTAGCGGAATAGGAGCGAATTCAATGGCTATTTCGGTATGTTAGGAGAAGTAAACGATTTTTCTAAAATACCCTTATATAGGTAAAAGTCACATATCCTTTCTGGACCTGGTTTACAACTGTAGGAAAAAATAACCTATCACGATACAATGCTGAGAATAATACACATATTTTGTTCGTCCAGGAAAAAACAATGCGGCAGACGGACTTGAACAAAATTTGTTAAGTTAATGAAATCAACTAAGAATGGGACTAACAATTATAAATGTTTAGTTTGTACTTACGAAACAAAATAAAATTGATGTACAACGCTAGAAATAAGAATCCTCCCGAAATGCGAGTGAGACGTGACAAACTGGAAATAAAAGGCGTGGGAGAGGTAAGTAATACAATATAATTAGTGCATTATTAGTAAGAGTTTATTTTAGTTTGATCCAGTAATATTGAGCATGCGTTTGGGGATCAACACCGAAGATTGGCAAGGATTGCCTCTTGAACAATTATTGGATATTCGTCTTCGTAGACAGAAGGAGGTAAGGTCTTTTTGGACCATGAATATGACATTAAAGGTATATCAATGTGAATACATTGAATAGGACGGTACACTAGCACTTGGCCCATTGAATCTTCCCGGGCTAGAGCCGGAAAAACCACAGGAAAAGGGGCCAGAGAAAGAAACGTGCACGAACGAAAAGGAAAATGGAAAGGAAAATGAAAATGAAGGAGCCGGAGTTTCTTATTCCCAAGCGGTAAGTTAACAGTATAGTAAACGACTTCAAATTACTAATTTTGGTTTAGGTACGTGGACAGAAAAGAAGCACTGATGAAGACGGCTTTGTGTTGCCACGAAAAGTGAAAAGGACCACGCAGGATAAAAATGCTAAATAGTGAACTCAAGTATAAAAGGCTAGGAAAGTCACTTTTCTTTTTTCGAAAGCGTTTTGTGTTGCATTTTACTTGTTTGAAATTTCCACTCTTTCATGTTGTAAGAATGAATAGCTGTTCAAGGTTTACTGCTAAAGTAAACCGTTCGAAATTGTATTTTTATATAGACGGTTCACTGAAAAGGTAAACCAATTTGTTCTGTTGTTCAATAAAATGTTATTGTTGACTGTACAAACACTAAAAGCTATCAATTGATAGCAAGACCAATTGGTCCAAGGAAAAGCCATTGGCTAGCAAGTAAAAGCTTGCAGAACGGACTAATACTTACTGAGAATAATAGAGATATTCATAGTCCGTCTAGGTCTAGGTATCTTCTGGGTTTCCCTCATGAAGATACTTCAACCTAGATTAACAAATAACTAAATAATAATTTACCATAATGCCTGTTTCGCCTCTACCCCTATACAGGGTAACATGTAAATGTGAAACCACTCCCGATGCTCTTCGGTAGGGAAGAGTGGTTAATAACATCAAATCAAAATGGTTTGGTTTATATACATGTAGCGGGGAAGAGGGCGGGAAATCTGCAGATTAGATGGTCAAAGTCAGATGGTCAATGGTCACAATCGAATGGTCACACATGAAAGCTCGGGACGAGCTTCACTAAGGAATGGTCATGTCAAGATGTAGCCGCAACGTGGGCGGCGCCTGATCAAGATCAACTGGCTTCAACTTAGATTTGCATTATAGAACGAATCACCCATCTCTCGTCATTACTGTAGGATTACGGTAGAAACTTTAAAGAGGGCTTTGAGCCATGAAAGGCCATATTTTGCCTCAAAAAAGAAACAAAACAGCCTGAAAACTTTTACACTAGGCTAATTAGAGTTGCTGATTACAACTGTAAAGTTCCCAACTTGTTATGATGCTTCATTGAAGAATTATGCCAGGTAAAAGGTAGCGGCCATTTTTTCAATGTTCTTAAAAAGTGCGATTAAACCGTTTAGAAAGCTTCGTAATCTTGTGAATAGTTTAGCATTGACTCAGCGTCCATAAAAACCCTATTACACATGTTTTCACATTATTTTGAAAATTTTTGAAAAGGCAGCTTTTTCCATATTGACACCATATGTTTCAAGTTTCTACCGTAATCCTACAGTAATGAAGAGAGATGGGTGATTCGTTTTATAATGCAAATCTAAGTTGAAGTCAGCTCTACCAAAGGTACCTGAAGCAAGGCAAAAGACTTGTTGGGAAGAAAGATATTAACGATCAAACGTTGTTTTGTCGGTTTTTTCAGACCACTGTAAAATCACGCACAATAAAGACCTGAAGAATTTCAACATGCATTCGATGCAGCTTTTCCTTCTCTTTCTTATGGATGCACTTTCATACCATAATGTTATATGCTTTCTTTGGTAATTGCCGAAATTCTACACCTGTCAATTTTACCTGCTCAAAGTTGTGCTAATTTTTCAAAAATTTCGTTACAAAGTTTCGAAAGAGGTGAAGCATGGGTCAAATAGAGCAACTCTCGAGCTAAAAGATGTAATTTTATATTCTCCTAATTTGCTGATTTTGACTTCAAAAAATTATTTCTTCTGAGGTCTCGATTTTTGGCTAAGTCATGAAACGCGCAATTGCAGCAAAAGCATGAAAGCTTTTGAAATTTTTGCGAATTCAAACTTGATTGTTATTAAACATCATTTATGCAACATAACCAAGTTTGATTTGCTTCAAAAATCAGCTTTTTGGAATTTTCGGTAATTTTACGTGGTAAAACGTGTTCAAAAAGCCGCGGTTTTTCTCAAATAAATAATTATTACGGACTTGATAAACGTGGCCCACGTAATCTAAAATAGCCACAATGTAGCCAAAGGTTTGCACTACATAAAAGTCACCAGCGCTCCTTGAAAACGCCATGACAAAATTTTTTAAAATTTAGGAAAGATTTGGCGTTACTGCTGGGCTGCCCGAAAAGCCATGTCGATAACATCGCAAATACAGGGTAGATCAGAGAGCAGATATAGCTATAAGAAAGAGAATAAAAATCTGAATCGAACGGTACGTAAGACATCCATGGATTGGTGTTGTGAGTTTTAGTGAGCGATGAAAAAACCGACAAAACTTTCGGGACAACCTAATATGTAAAGGAATGCTTGTTTGTATGTATGTCGCGATTAGAAAAATCCATTTCTAAACCGACCCGGACCAAACTTCGCACACATACACTTCGGGGCGGGACGGGTGTCGTAGGCTACTCTTCGGTATCGACTGGTATCTATTTTATCGATTTTTTGCGAACTTCAAGCTACAGGGCTGAAATTCGTGACAGGGGAGTAAGTGAGCATGCTGCTTTCAATATACTATTGAAAAGGCCGGGCGAATCCAGGTTTGCTATCTAGCACATTCTTCCAAGAGTCAAACAAAACATCTATCAAAGAGCTTATTTTATCTCATAGCCTTGATTGAAGCTAAATAGAGTGCATAAACCACTTAAAACAAATGTTTTTGGAGCGCAATGACTCCAAATGCATTCAGAGCCATCTGGAAAGGGCACTGCTTCTCTTTTGAACTGCTTTGAGTCCACTATGAAGCAGATATGTCAGACGTTGTTACTGTATCTCTACAAAAAGTTTGGATTCGAAAGATTGCAATCTCGAATAAAAAATGGACCTTTGTTTGAAGTGTTCGCATGATTGAGAACCGCTAAGCATTCACATTAGGCGCAAAAACACTCATAAAATTGACAGCGATCTCCATTCTATGGATCATATACACTTTTCCGCTGTGCTCTATTGCTGGTACCAACGGCTTTTTGAGTTTCTCTCAAGAAGTACAGAAACTTTTAGAATTTGGGGGTTCGTATAATTATGAACCGCACTATACTTCGTCACGAAGTCAGCGAAAATGACACAAGAAATGATGAAAAAACCTAAATTTTACTGGATTCAAAGCCTTTTGGTCTGTCAAGCTTGCACAAAAGCGAAAAAGATTAGAGCTACTATTTTCGCCCCAACTTCACCTGCACAATCAAAACATCCATCAGAGTAGGATTGCACTGATACTAAAACTAAGCTTACTTACTTGAGTATTAGGTTGTTGCAAAAATAATGTCCGTTTTTCTAGGCGTATATTCCAAACGACTTTTCTCCTTCAGGCTTTCTTTTTCGATACAGATTTTGCACACCATTAGAAAGCTTTCTTCATGTACTTTCCAACGGTGGTGAAATTAAGCTTTTATCTCATCTGTAAGATTTTCACCGGCATTTTGAACAGCCGCACTCAAAATCGAAATTTCATTGCTCCAACTTTTTCGGCCACAATTCAGGCGCAAATAAACGAATTCTTCTGAAAACATAGCTACTGTATAGGATAAATATTGTTTACTTATTGCACGTTTAAACAAGTTTTTCGAATATACCTGAACTGACAAATCGAGCTTCAAAAAAGATACCCGCTGCCTGGAACTCTATGGGTTCGAAATTTTTCCTGATTAGGGCAATCGCTAAAACTTTGCTCATTTCTGTAGGCTTAAAGTAAGGACATCTTATCTACAATTTATGCAGAAAAACTTAGCTATTCAGTGCATGAAGATTTCCAAGTTTTCATAGTTTGGGACTTCCAAGCCTATCACAAATAGGCTCAAAAAAGTGAACAATTTTGAATTTCTATCTTTTTTAGTTCGCAGAACTTCTTCGCTAAAGTTCTTTTTATACAAACGTATACTCCTGGGTTGCGTCTACAAAATAAGCCGATTAGCAGCCATAACAACAAAACTTGAAGGAATTTGTAACCTTTCAAAAACGAGGTTTTCAAAAGCAAAACGTTTGGATTTTTGACGCATGGTTTTCTTCCCGTTTGCGATATCAGTATATGCAGGTGCGCCTTAGATTACGAAAGGTTTACTGCATCTGATGGTCTTGATTGCATTCAAAAATATGAAGACTGAACGAAGCTATAGCTTTTCGAAGCGAAATTTTGCAAAACGGACATTATTTTTGCAACAACCTAATACTTAGATCCCGTTTTCAAGTGGCATGCGTGGCATGCGGGCCCCAGCACAAAAGTTTCCATTTGTCTCTGTCCCTCGCTTCAGACATCCACGATCTTCTTGGTCGCCCTGGGTGGCTGCGTCCCGTTCCAGGTGCGATAGTCGTATCCAGCTGATCTCTCAGCTGGTCCATCCATTCAACGAACACATCTGCCCATCTCGTTGATGGTCTTCCTCGGGGACGTTTGGCTTCGCGAGGAATCCATTTCGATGTTCTTAGTGCCCACCTGTCGTCTGTTCTTCTCATGATGTGACCGGCTCACCGGTGTTTCGTTTTCGCAAGGTCTTCCACTGGGTCACGAAGATGGGACATTTTGCTCATATCCGTACTGCGATGTCCGACTAGATATTGCTTGTGTCGGGTCATCTTCAGAAGACTGCTCTCGAGCTCTCTTTGGGTGGTCCGTAAAGCTTTCGACGTGGCTACAATGTTGGCTCAAGTCTCAGCTGCGTAACAGAGCGCCGGGAGAACGGTTGAGTCGAACAGGTGAGCACGAAGCTCGGGTCCGTCAGTTGATCGGTGACTTCCTTCAGAAACTCGAAGACCGCTCAGGTTGCTCTTCTTCTCCTGTTAAGTTTTTCAAGTCGTTCTCACGTCCATCGAACGTCCGAGATACAGGTCCATATTACGTCTCCATAATATGGAGACGTCTTCTAACAAGGAGGTGCCTTCCAATTTCATTTCTGCATCTTCGCAAAGGCCGTTCTTCATAAACTGAGCCTTCTTCTGATTTTTCGCAGCCCTATTTTCTCCCCTACTTCGTTCAGTTCCTTCAGCATCGTCTCTGCTTCAGTGATACTGCTCGAAAAGAAAACGATTTCGTCCGCAAAATGAAGGTTGGACAGGAATCTCCCATCAACTCGTATGCCTATCTCGTCCCAGTACAGTGAGTTCATCACCCACTACAAGACCGCGGTGAACAGCTTCGACGAGATTGTGTTGCCTTGC